TAGCAGTAGTAGCAGTAGTGATAGTAATAGCAGTGGTAGCAGCAGTAGTGGCAACTGTTGAAACAGCAGTACTAGTACGAATGGTGGAACTAGCGCTTGTAGTACCAGCCCATGCACCACTCAAAACTTACAAACTACGTCCTCCCAAGAACCACTTCCCAAAAAGAATCAAAACTTCGCTGAGGTGCTTAGGAAATACAAGACCTGAATTAGCACTACCTGAGATCAACGGAGCCAACTTCGAAAATCAACCCTGCGACCACAAATCTAACCCCAAAACCTGTTGCACCTCCTGCAAACTTACATTGCTAGACGTGTCTCGTTTAGCCGAACTCAGCAAACGCCAGTATGGCGTACGGGCATATGGCATCACTTGCAATATTTAACCAATGTATGTGTACGTATGTGTGCATATACATATATATATATATAGATAGATAGATAGATAGATAGATAGGTTTGCATGCATATACACACGCGCGCGCAGTTGCAGCCAGGTGGCCCCAGCCTTTTCCCTCGGTGGCCGTGTCCCAAGCGTCGCAGAACATTTTGGCATCCGACTGGGCTGCGGCTTTTTTCCCGTCAGGTAGGTCTGGAGGTCCGTTTGACGTGTATGTTTCAGGATGATTTGGGATTTCCGGTGGCTTCAGATCCTAAGATGACTTACGCTGTTTGTTTCTACTACTCAGAACTTCACGAGAGTCTCGGCTTTCAGGTTTGAGGAGGTACAGCACATCCATGCTCGCGGCGCATGCCAGCCACCGGAGGGCTTTTGGCTTTCGTGCTACTGGCATATTCATGAACCCTAAACCCTAAACCCTAAACCCTCAAATTCCGGTGTCGGCAAAAGCTGCCCAGCACATTGCCAGCACAGCGGGAGCGACGCGCAATTGGCATCCATGCTACCCTTGCTGATGTCCACTTGCAGGTGGGCTTTCGGGCACCCAAAAAACACTTCTTGAAGAGGAGGACTCTTTTAAGCGGCGCCCTTCAGGAAGTCAAGGGATACCAGGCTGCAGGTCTTGCCACGGCGAGACTTCAAGCGATGCCCGGGTGCGAGATGTCAGCTTGGTTTAGAGGTGCCTTTGGTACAATGTGGATGAACGAACACATAAATGTGGGATAGATAGGTATGTGTATGTCCGTGTATATATATATATTTTTCTATATATGTATATATATATATATGATTAAGTATATGTGTAACCGCAACTAGCTATGAAGGATCTCAGTAGGGTTTCAAGACCACTGCAGCCACGAGAACCGTCTTGTACAGCACCTCGTACTTGTCGTGGTGATAGTTCAAGTTGATGCTGAACAAATCTTCTGCCTGGCAGAGTTGGGACAAGTTAAATCATCTACATGGGTAGCTCTCTGAAGTAGGGTACCCCTTTTAGGTTCCAAAAATAGTACGGCACNNGCACCCTTATAACAAGGACCCTGAAATGGACCATAATTTAGAGAACTGACCATATGTAAACCCCATCGCAGCTTCTATATTGGGTTTCTGCTCCTCGAACTCCACCGACCGCCTTACAGTGGCACGGAAAGCTCTGCCCAAAGGCAGAATCTTGACCCGCACAGTCCCACGAGCCTCCGACCGGTCCATGGATAAATTCCAAAAGCGCACTGAAAAAAAGAAAAACGTAGCAAACAACACGCAAAGAAGCCTCTAAGTGCAGAGCCAGCCAAACCTCAAAGCCCGAAGGCCCTGAGCCCTGAATCCCAAAACCCCCCCCCCCCCCCCAACCAGAACTCGCCCAAGCCCTAAACTTCTTGCTTCAACCGCCTGAAAAGCCTAGGAACCTAGGGCCTTTAGGGTTTTTGAACGCGGCTAAAAACCCGGCCTGCTCCATAGAGGCCTTGCAGTTGGGACGCTCGCCGCAGTACCTCCAAAGTCTACTTCGCTTTGAGGCCGAATACTTCGGGGGCCCTTAGGAACTTTAGGGATCCGGGTTTCGGGCCGTGTTTTGTTTTTGCCCTTTAGGGTTCAGGTTGAAGGCTTGGGGTTTAGGCAGGGGTCGCATTGCTTCCTCACCCACACAGTCACCGACAAAGGCTGTTGTTGGTTCAGGCTTTAGGTGACAGGTCACAACGAAATGCACACAGGGAAGCTCTAATTGGCAGCAACTCTTGTGCAAACCGGGCACTTGGAGTCCTTCAGCACATAGGGCAGCACCGGCTTGTCACTGGGATGGCACGATTTGCGGTTCAGGGTGTGGGGGGTTTCAGGCTCAGGACTTGCCGGTGCCTCTAAGGCTCTACAAAGATCTCCGCGCTGGAGGGTCTTTGGACGGCTTGGGGAGTCTTGCGGCCTGGGGCTTGCGGCTCTCTGTTCAAACGCAGGCCTCAAGCCCCAAAAGCCAGAAGAGCGAAACCCCCTAAACCCTAAACCCTAAACCCTCATGATCCCGGAACCAAATCCTATATCAGCGCATGGTTCGATTCTGGGAGTTTCCTTCAAGCCCCAAGGCTTGAGGTGTTCGTGTCTGGGAAGAAGGTCTAGCCGACGGCTCCCAGCGAGACGACTACAAATGTACGTAGGTTCCCTTCCTGGGCCTTCAGGGAAGTTGTCGGGGCCTTAATGATTCGAACGGGGTCTTGGGTATGTTGTTAGAACATATATATATATATATACGCACATATATATATATACACATATGTACCTATATACATATGTATATATATATATGTACATATATTGATATATAATGAAGACTGAGGCACGGAACTACAAATTACTCAAGCCCCCATCATTAAGCCCAGCATCTCGTCGTCCATGAGGACGCTCACGGGAGCCTTCACAATGTGGTAGTTGTCTGTCAGCGCCTGGGAGTCGAGTGCACTACAGCACAGTATGGTAGATCATAGCGTACTATGGCATATTATAGTATAGTATATCGTATATTTATAGCATAGCACTGCACCGTATATTATAGTATGTTATAGGTATAACAGATTACAGGTTTAGGGTTTAGGTAACTTCCTCAAGAGCTGCAGCTGCTGCAAGGCTTTGAGATAAGGGTGTCTGCATTCCGGAGAACGTGGCATAGAAATGTCAACCCGAAGCTCTCGCCTCGTGAGAACCCTCTCCCGCAAACTAGACCACTCTAGGACTCGTGCGAACCACTCGGTGTCCACCAGCTTGGCAATCTCACAGAGATGGTAGTAGGGCTCATACATGGCCGGCTGCATCATCATTGTGACATCACCTCGGTCACACTTTGTTCGGCCACGCTGCTAGGCCCTCGAGGTCAACAGCCCTAAGCCCATGTGCCAAGAGTTTCCAGGCTTGCGAAAACCATGCAAAATAGTTGCAGTACGATGGGTCCTTGCGAGCTTCAGGGTTCGGTAGCAGCTGGCCTCCAGGAGCACTGATGGTCATCGTGCTGTTCGGCTGGTCGAAGTAGGTGATGCCCAGGATCTTCTTGAAGGGGTGGTGAGTGGGCACCTGGCTGTTGCGATCTGCGAACGAAAAGAAGCTCCCAGCCGCGCTGCCTGTTGACCAAGTTTCAGCAGGACAGACACGCAAAAACCAATATGGCGGCTGAGGGAAGAGAGAGTGAGAGACAGAGGCAGATGGCGAGGGGAAGAGGGAGGTCAAAGAGAGGGAGAGTCAGAGGCAGCAAACCCCAAACACTGAACAGCACAGAGGCAAAAAGGTGGAGCCCAAACAGGCAGGCTCCTGAAATAAACCCTGAACCCTAAACCCTGAAAACCCCGAACCGAAAGAAGACTCTTGGGCCCCGGCAGTCTCCATGAAGTGGCCCTGATGATCGAAATATGCCACTCCCAAGGTGACCTCGTCGTCCTGAAGCCGGTTTAGGGTCTTAGGGCTTTAGGGTTTAGGGGTTTAGGGTCTACAGGGGTTTAGGGGTTTAGGGGTCGTTTGCATTGTGCCCCTGCAGGGCATGGCTTGGGCCGCGGCATCCAAGTTCTCGAAGAGATTCTTGCTCGAGCCGTGGCGGATGTAGCTGCCGAACTCGAAGCTCGTGTTCAGGAGGGTGTTGGCCTTATACCCAAGACCCTAAACCCTAAACCCTAGACCCTAAACCCTGAACCCTGAACCCTAACCCCTAAACCCTGAACCCTAAATGCTAAACCCTCAGCCTCTCAGCCTGCTTTTCCCCAAAGGGAATCCAAAAAAAAAAACAGCCCTCTCCACAGTCGCAGACCCTGAGTCGCGGACGTAGTTTCCCACCAACATCGTGTGCGTGTTGTAGGTCATGTTGTTACCCGTCCAGTTGGCAGCATACCTTGGAACCGACATATACACCACGAACCCCCCGAAATCCCGGCATGCTCTCTTTGCTTTCGTCTTCCGGGTGCTCACTCGGTAAGCCGCGCACCACATGGTGGTGTCGGTTGGTTCCTTCTGGCTCGGGCCCCGTCATAGACCCCATCCCTTGTAAACCTCTTGTAGATCCCTTATAGATCCCTTAAACAACCTTTTGTTTTAATCCCTTCTAGATCCCTTCTAGATCCCTCATCCCTTATACAAGTTTTCTAAGATCCCTTCTAGATCCCGTGTAGAACCCATTATCGACATTGAGGTCAAGAGCCTTGCGCTGTCGCGGGGCAGACCATAGTCTGGTCCGAGGGGTGAGAAGCTCGAGGGTTTAGGGGTTTGGGGGGGTTGGGGGCTTTACGGGCTTAGGGCTGCAGGGTTTTGGGGACGTAGGGGACCTAATTAGGGGCTTTTTGGGTCTAAGCATTTTTAGGGCAGTTTCGGGGTTCAGGCATTAAGGAGGTAAGGGTTTAGGGGTTTCACAAGGGGTTTAGGGGTTTGACGGGTCTGTTCAGTAGTTGGCGTCCCCGTTCACAGAGAGCCCCCACGATGCTCAGGGAAGCATCGTGGCCGGGCCGGCCACGGTTCTCTTCCCGCTACCTGCTCCTGTTCTACACCGTCGCGGGCTTAGGGCTTCGGGTTCTGCAACTGTCCTGGTCTGCCCTTGACCCCTTCACACCTGCCTCCCAGCATGAAGGTGGGCCATCATGAACCCTGAACCCCTGAGAGCCCTAGATCCGAAGACCCTAAAACCCCGGATCGAAGCGCAAGGCTCGATGGCCGGGTCTCCGCAGAAAACCCTCCGAGGTCGGCTGACACTTGCTCTTCAGGGTTTTCTTGGGCCGGCTGGAGGCGACACCTTCGAGACCTATGAAGACCGCCCCCGAATGAAAGGACCCGCAACTGCCACGGAACAGGAAGACTCCTGCAGCTCTAAAGGACTCTGGACCCGAGCAACCCTAAACCCTCAACCCTAAATCCTAAGAACCCCAAGCCCTAAAACCCTGAACCCTAAGAACCCTAAACCCTACAAACCCTGAACCCTAAGAACCCTAAACCCTAAAAACCCTAAACCGCACCACAGATGACCGAAGCTGCATCGGATCCCCGGACTCCGCTGCCATGGTCATCATGGCCTCGGGTCGTCGAAGCGCTGTCAAAAAGGGCTCCCCGCGCTCGTCGTGGCTTGAGGGCCCCTTTTAGGGTTTAGGGTTTAGGGTTTAGGGTTTATTTGGGGTTTAGGGTTTGGGGTTTAGGGTTTGGGGTTTAGGGTTTAGGGTGGCGCCGAAACGGAGGTCTGCTCCCGATGCCAGGGAGCGAAGGCCACGTCGAAGGCCATCTCTTCCATCATGCTCGCATCCCCGGCCATGGTGAAGGCCTGGTAGAGGTACCTCAGCAAGGGCAGAGTTCCGGAGCCTGGGAGCCCCTGCAAAGCGCCGGCCTCGTTAGGGTTTATTAGGGTTTAGGGCTTTTTTAAAGCACCTTTTTCCACCTAGCAGTTAAGGTCGGAGGGTTTAGGGTTTAGGGTTTAGGGTTAGGCAACCAGCAGGCAACCAGCAGGAACACAACATTCACATCAGGAGAAGATCAGGCAATATTCTGTGAGCAAGGGGCTTGGTCCAGCTGTTCTTCAGGTTGTAGATGGCATTGCCGTTGATGTGCTCGACCAAGTACACTGGCATCATGTGCTTGAACAGGTCCCACTTGTCGCCTGTGCACAGGGCGAAGCCCGCTGTCCCTGTGGATAAAGGGTTTAGAGTTTGGGGCTTAGGGTTGAGAATTTGGCGAGTAGCTTGATCTTGGGAGGTTCTGGGCAAGGCCTCTAGCTCGGTCTTGACAGGAGCCCTGGGACAAGCTGCAGAGGCGCTCCGGGTGCGGCCCCAGCTTGCCCAAACCGCAGACTGTTTAGGGTTTTGGGTTTGGGGTTTAGGGTTTTGGGGTTTAGGATTTAGGGTTTTGGGGTTTAGGGTTTAGGGTTTAGCCCCCCCAAAAAACCATCGAAGAACTCGCTTTGGCCCCAGGCGGGCCTAGGTACTGGCTGCCACGTACCGCCTGGTCGTTGTCATGAACTTCATGTGCCTGCAAAAATGCCCAGGAGGCCGAGCTTTGGTACTGAAAAAGTGAGAGATATACTATATATTATTTTTTATATTACGTTATATATAATATTATATATTATATTTTGCATTATATTATATATTAGAATATATTTTTATGATATATATATATAGGTTCTTCCAGGTTCTGGAAAGATCTTCCCTAGAATCTCAGAAGGGCATCAATGACACGACATGCCACGACATGCAGTGCAGTCGCTTCGATCCTGATGTCTCCGCCAGTTCAACCCCAAAACCCTCTGGCCTCCATCTCGAACTGGTCGAGCCAGTTGTCCTTGATGGGGACCGCATCCATCTCCTGGCAAATTACGCCAAAAAGTTGGGAGTGACAGCGAGGAACACATGACGTTGCGGCGGCCAGTGTAACTTCCTCATCACTCACATCCTCCCCAAAAATGTTATCCAATTAAGCCCTGGTTGACCAAAAGCATTAATACCATAGCAGTCAGTAGGACCACAGTTTGAAGAATGCTTGCATGAGGTGCTGATAGCTGCAGAAAGGCCCGCCGGTTTTTTGGTGCAAGAATTTTGAGACAATGTCGATTGGCTTTAGAGTTCCAGACGCCTACACTTGAGATATTCTAAACATTGCAGCACTCTTCCACTCCATGAGGAAGAAGGAGTCGTACATGTCCATGTACTCGCCCATGTACATGGCATCCAAGATTTTCTTGAAAACGTGGTTGGGGCCTGGCACCCACACGTGCATTCGGCAAGTCATGGACAAAATGGAAGTAGCAGTCCGACAGTCTGGGGCAGCAGCCAGAGACCCAGTGCTTGTTCGTGGTGTAGCCATTGCTGTCGTAGACGTCTTGCTCCGGGTTCAGCATGGCCGACATGCTCTTGATGGCCCTGGGCAATGCGTGAAAACTTGCGGCAGGCTCGTTGCTTGGCCATCCGTGGAGCAGCGAGTTCTGAGACACACAGGGGTTCTGATTCTATGAGAGTATTGCATCGCTGTAGAGCGGACTCACCTTCAAGATTTCTTTGAGATTCTGGCAAACCCTAAACCCTAAACCCTTGTTCCATTCTCTTCAAGGTTTAGTGACTCCAGAGGCCAACGTCGCGGCTCTGATGTGGGACCCGACTTGGGGTTCAGGGAAAACCCCAAACGGAATGCCCCAGGCTCTAACACAAGGTTTAGGGTTTAGGGTTTAGGGTTTCGGGTTTAAGGTTTAAGGTTTAGGGTTTAGGGACAAACCCTCGAAAACCTCCGGCAGGTGCTAGCTGCCCATGAGCCCCATGAAAGCCAGGAAAGATCAGGAGGGCCCAAGTGGCGAGAAGCACTCCATCCAGTCGTACATCGTGCCCATTGTCACGTTCGTTGAGCCATACATCTCCTGTGGCAGGTGAGCTGAGGGTTTTCGGGATTTTGGAGCGTTTTGGGCGGGAAGGGCTAGGAATTCAGTCTTAAAGGCAAGTGAGCGTCCATGTCCATCTTCATCTGGAAGCCGTTCACCATGTCCATCACAACCTACCAGCTGCTTTGCAGGCTTCGGACAACGAACCTGTCCGAACAAAATGCTTTGAGACAGTTGGCAAGTGGCTGCGGACCAGAAACTCCATGAGAGTAACGAGGGATGGACAACAGCCAGAACGGCGGGAGACTGTCTCGAAGCTATGAAGAGGTCTTCACATCAACCATGCACATGTCACGAACTCGGAACCGCGGATATGTCCGGAAGAAGCCACAGCAAGCGGGAACAGGAAAGCAACGAGCGCGAATTGGAACACAACCGTCTAGATCGGTGAGTGATGCATACAAGTGTGGTCCCATTTTATGGCAATCGGTAAGCTTTGGAAGCCGACACAGGACCATTGCGAAACATCCTGATGACCTCGGACTTGTAGACGAATCGAGCCAGCTCCCGTCTTGGTACAAGGCTGTCCTTTCCCAGTAGCGAAACCTGGCGTAGCCCACCAAAGGTTGCCCAACCCAGCCTGGTTGGCCATGGAATTGCCGGTCAAGTCCTTGCCTCAATTCGTAGAGCATTGTCCCATTCATGAAAAACCAGGAATACTCAGAAGCTGAAATAATAGTAGCGGTGGCAATGGTAGCAGCCAACATGACAGTAATTGTAGTGGCAACAATGTACTAGCAGATATTAGAAGTAACAGTCATGTCATAGTCAGGCTTCAAGACTAAGAAATTGAAGTCGTAACCGCACCATTAATAATCACAGTGGGAAGAAGAAAAAGTCATGAATATGTCAATAGTCAATATATAAGTCCTAGCAGTAGTAACCACAGTGGACATAGAAATGGCGATAGCACTCGCGGAGTACAAGCAAAGAAAATGCCGTGGGGACAGCCATACGAATATTGACGGTAAGGGTATAGTAAATAATGCTACATATTTTTTTTACTACTACTACTACTACTACTACTACTACTACTACTACTACTACTAGCGTCGGGTTTATCTCACATCAGTCAGCGAAAATACAGGTCACCAGTGTGGACGCAGTTGCAAGGAACTACACATCAGCGGCGAAAATACACAT